TTGGGGTCAACTCTTAACCAACCAACCTAGGCTGTTACATTAGCTTCCCCCTAGAATCGACTTCCGTAGGAACGTCGGTTCGATTAACCTAACTATCGAAAACACCTTGGTTCTATTTCTCATCCCCAGGGAAAATTATCAACTCGCTCACTGTTTGACTTACAATCAGTGACGACTAACGCTGTCAACGATAGTCCATGGATGTCTCTTATTTACTAGCTTGTCATCTTATTTTGTAGCATGTGATTTCTTCTACAACTATCGCCGACGGTTTGCTGCGTGCATTCAAGAGAAAGTATGAGAATGTGGAATAAGAATATCTGAGGAAGTGCCGCGAGCGGGCTACCCAACACCATGTTGGTGAGGTACGATTTTTCCGTGCTCAGACCGGCTATCAGGTGTTTACTCACCTGCCTCTTGAGTCGCCCTCAAGTAAAAAGTAAAGAAGAATCTACTTCAAAGGTAATGGTGAAAATCAAGCAAACCTGAAGAACTGCTCCACTGCCTGCATAAAATAATAAGATACAAAATGGAAATACATAAATGTAATTGATAATTGTTCGGTTCCATGTAAGTGCTTGGTCTCCAGAACGGATTGGTATTCTGGAAGAGAATAGACATAGTGTAGATATCTTGTGCACGAAAAACCATGAAAACAAAAAAAATACTCTTTTGTAATGCATATATATAAAAGGGTGAACTTGCTAGAAGTTGGACTCTTTAACAAAATCGATCAAACCCGTGACCTTGAGCTTGTGATGACCGCGTTTCACAACTAGGTGCGTAACCAAGGGTGCATAATTGTACTCCACAAAACGGAAAAGAATATACGGTTAAGAAGCAAAAAAAAATTGTGTAGAGTATGCGGATCAAGTACAGTTGTGTCAAATACCCTTTTCTTGTTTGATTTAGGTATGCATGATATATTGAAGCAATATATCGTCAATTCATCCAAGTAACGAATTGGTTTGCACCTCAGAAGTGTGTAAGTCCTATTACTCATTAGTATTATAAGTGATTAATTGGTGTAAGGAAATATTGAAGTCACTTCCTCCGTGGTCTGATGTGGCTTAACGGCTAAGCACGCGATCTAGCATTCAGGAGGGCAGAGGTTCGAGTGAATGTGGGGCCTGCGTTTTTGTTCACTAGACCCACCTTCAATACGATGTTTGTTGCCCGTAAGTCGCGCACATATGAGAGAAAAAATGACAAGAGGACAGATTGATATATCAAAGTGCCATGTTGGAAAAGTATAAGTTCTTTTTTTACATGAATATTATTACTATAGAAAAAAAAACTACAAGTTTAGTAAATTTCCATTTTACGTTATATTTAAACCAACGAATATATATATATATCAGTTATTGACATAAAATGTTTTTTTTTATAACGCTAATGTTAAGTTCCAGGACTTTGTATGGGCCACTAATAATAATTGGTTTGACGTTAGCATAGTCGTGATATTCACATTGTCAGTTCAATGTTATGATTACTAAACAGTTCCCTTATAAGTTGTGTTTAAAATTAGGTATGTGGAATCAATGCGGCTGACATAGTAACCTTACAGTAACGCACTGTACTACATCTTCACGGTTATTGATTCTTAAATGTCAGAAATTAAAAAAAATCTGAATATTGCCAATAAAGATGGGTTATATGATCACACTAAAAAGCATGCTGCAGGGAAACTGGTTAAGTCATTACGTAAGTTTCCTAAACATGAAAAAAAATGATGAGAACTTTAATAAGTACTTGACCATGGTTTAATCCAAAATGTTTTGTCTAGAAAACTACTTATTAATAGTAGTATTAATCGTATCAAGCTACTAAACATATCCTCAACCGAAAACTTTTAGAAGTAGTTCATATGGTATATATGTATAGCCAGTCTACGTGAAAAATATATATAAATATATAAGAAGTACAGCCAACATAGTTAATTAACCAGAAAAAGAAATTATAAAACTCGCCTGGGTTGCTTTTTTAATTCGTTGTATTTGCCAGTGTTAGTTGTATGAGTTTGATTAAAATCCTCAGCCGTCGTTTCGGAGTACCTAGCTTATGTGTCCAGTATTTTAAAACAAATATTTAACATAACACGTATATATCAAAAGTAAAAGGTCTGGGGAGTTGTCGGTGAGGCGGGATGATGAAAAAAAAATATTTTTAAGTAGATGCAGGGTGTGATTAGCTGCGTGGTTAGATTTTATCCTGCAGCCGAAACTGTCAACATCCTTGACTGACTAATTGGATGTGCCCAGCGAACCGTTTTAGTCATTTGTAAAGATTTATTATCTTCACATTTCGATTCCGTAATGGATTTGTCAGTTAAACGATCTAACAACACGTATGGTGGTTCATGATCTAGATAAGCCGGCTTTAGCCTATCAATACTTACTGTGTCGATGTTTCCATGTTTTTCTATCACAAAATATTTCGATTTTCTTGAGACGACTTTGAAAGGACCTTCAAATGGAGGACTGAGTGGTGCTTTTATTTTGTCACATCTTATCCAGACGTGCGTGCAATTGCTTAGGTCTTTAGGTATATATACGGGGCGCGATTGTTCACGAGTATTAATCGGCTTAAGTTTAGACATGTGGTCCCGTAGTTGATCTACATAATTTTCTAAATTAAGTTTTTGACTGTTAGTATTAGGGTTAATAAATTCACCTGGTAGTCTCAGAGTTGTTCCGAAAACCAGTTCTGCAGCTGAACACTGTGCGTCAGTTTTGACAGATGTTCGTATTCCCAACATAACTAACGGTAGGAATTCTGTCCACTTATTGGGGTTTGAGTGAGATATAAGGGCGGTTTTTAGCTGACGGTGAAAACGTTCTACCATCCCATTAGCCTGAGGATGATATGCAGTGCAGCGTATCCTATTAGAGCCTAGAAGTTTAGCCAAGTTATTAAATAGTTCGGATTCGAATTGCGCTCCTCTATCCGTCGTTATTGTTATGGGTGTACCAAAAATGGTTACCCAGTTCTGCATGAAGACTTTGGCTACTGTTTCTGCTGTGATGTCCGCTATCGGGATGGCTATAGGGAATCTGGTAAATCGATCTATGCATGTAAAAAGATAATTAAAACCGTTTGAACGTGGTAAAGGACCTACCAAGTCGATATGCACATGGGCAAAACGTGCATCTGGTTGCGAGAAAACACCTATGGGTGAATTTGTGTGACGATTAATTTTTGATTGTTGACATGCTGAACATTCTCTAACCCATTTGTGTACATCCTTCTGTAAATTCGGCCATATATATCTGGCATTGATTAGTTTAGTTGAAGCTTTTGCGCCAGGATGAGACAAAGAATGAAAGTTATTATATATCAACTTTCGCATACTTTTGGGAACGAAAGGTCGCGGAATTGGTTTGGTCGTGTCACAGTAGATTAGAATACCATCGACAGGTGATGGGAACTGTTTTAAATTAAGACTTGAATTGTTTGTTTTAAGCAGGTTTTGTAATTCTAGATCCTGCTCTTGTTCGTTTTTCAACGTCTCGAAGTTTACTGTGGACTGTTGTAGCACGTTCATTTCTAGCCTAGATAAAGCATCTGCCGCCTGATTGTCCTGACCTTTGACATGTCGGATATCGCTTGTGAACTGTGATATATAGTCAAGGTGTCGGACTTCTCGAGGTGAGTATTTATCGGCTCTCGCTTTTAATGCATTCGTCAGTGGTTTGTGATCCGTAAAGACTATAAATTCCCTACCTTCTAACATGTGTCGGAAGTGTTTAATGGTTAGGTAGATTGCAAGAAGTTCTCGCCCGAAGGTAGAATACCTTGTTTCGGCTGGAGCGAGTCTTTTCGAGAAGAAAGCAACTGGTTTCCAGGAGTTTTTAACCAGTTGGTTAAGGGTACCGCCTACTGCTTTATCTGAAGCATCCACCATCAAAGCAAGTGGGGAAAGAGAATTCGGATATATCAACGTAGTTGCTTGAGCCAGTTTATCTTTAAGCTGTTTAATAGCTTCGATGGCGTCAGAAGACAGTTTGAATTCTTTTGGTTTTCCTTTAAGTGAATCTGTCAAAGGTTGCATTAATTGTGCACAACCTGGTATGAATCTGCGATAAAAGTTAATTAGGCCTAGAAAACTTCTCAGTTGTGTTAGAGAACTAGGTACGGGGTATTGTTTGATGGTATCCACTTCTTTTTTGATAGGTTTAATCCCCTCTGGGCTTATTGTGTGACCGAGAAATTCTAAATTTTGAACACCGAAAACACACTTACTTTGATGTATGTTTATTCCATGTTCATCCAGTCTTTTCAACACTGCTTGTACATGCTGTTCGTGTGATTGCAAATCGGGGCTGGCAATTAACAAGTCGTCTATATACCCCTGCGCAAATGGCATATCTCGAAGTAGGTTATCTATGAATCTTTGAAATGTCTGTGCCGCATTTCTCAGGCCGAATGGCATGCGTACAAACTCGAATAAGCCAAAGGGTGTAGTAATAGCTGTTTTGGGAATATCTTCATCAGCCACGGGATATTGTGATATGCCCTGACTAAGTCAATTTTAGTGAATATGTTCATACCCTGTAAACCGTTGGTGAAATCTTGGATATGAGGTATTGGGTACCTATCTGGTACGGTTTGACGGTTTAGGGCTCTGTAATCCCCGCACGGTCGCCAGTCACCTTCATTCTTCTTTGGGACCATATGCAAAGGGGATGCCCATTGACTATCAGAGGGACGGATAATACCCAATTGTAGCATATAATCAAACTCGGTCCTAGCGATTTTGAGCTTATCTGGTGCTAGTCTCCTGGGTTTTGCAAACACCGGTGCACCTTCGGTTTTGATAGTGTGACTCACTTTTAGTTTGTCTTTGGAAGGCTGTGGGTTTGGTTTAGTTAAGTTTGGAAATTCCGCGAGTATATCTTGGAATTTCGCTGTTGTTACTGGAGGGGTTTGAATCAAGTTAAGAGAGCTGATGTGACTTTCTTTGCCTTTTGTGTAATACGAAGTTTCTTTTAGTGTTAATCGCCGTTTCTTGGTGTCAACTAGAAATTCGTATCTCTCTAGAAAGTCCATCCCCAGTATTGCCAGATCTAAGTCGGCTACCGTGAAAACCCAAGGGAATTGCCTCCTGAACCCCAAATCTAGGGTTAAAGTTTTCTGCCCAAATGTCGCAATATTAGTTTTATTTGCAGCTTGAAGTGTAATTGATGATGTTTCTCGACTAATCTCAGTTTTATTTTGAGGGATGATGCTAAGAGCAGCGCCAGTATCCACCAAGAAATTCAAGCCCGAGTTTCTGTCTCTAACATAAAACAAGCGACTGTTTAGGCACCCCTCCTCAGTCGTCGCGACCTGGGGAGGGGTTACTCGTTTCCCGCTGACTTAGAATTATGCTTCGGCCAGGCGCATGGTTGCATGCACTTCGTTGAGTTGACACCAAACTTCCAGTGGTACCAACAAAACTGCCCAGATTGTCTGGACATTTGTGACCTGTTTTTTGACTTGGATCGTGTTCGTTGTGGTGACCTGCTCCTGTTTCTATGACCCATTTGCATTCTGGTGACAGCCTCAGTGAGACTCTTAACACTCGCAATGAGTCCTTCTATTACGGGGTCTTTTGCTGATTCTACTTTTTGTGTGTGATTTATTATGCCTGATCCAGTTGGAGGACCTCTTTCCATTATTCTGTCGGCTATACGCGCTAATTGAGATAATGAGGTTTCAGGATCCTGTGCATCCAAACAGTGTTGGACGTAGCATGGGAGAGCTTGTATCCATCCTTGTTTTAGGACTGCTTCACCCACTGTGTTATCACCCACTAAGACTTGGAGGTGACGTAAAAACTGTGACGGCGACCGATCACCTAGTGTTTCACCTTGAAAAAGTCTTTGGATTCTTCGACTATCTGATAATGAAAAACGGTTCATTATCTCTCGTCTTAAGATGGTGTATGGTTGTGGTGATGGTGGATCTAAAATCAAGTCACGGACTTCTTTGGCGACTGAAGGAGGAAGGATAGAACACAAGTCTCTATAGCGAATCCCTTCAGATTTGATATTGTGTCTCGTGAAATAATGCTCTAGTTGAGCAAACCACAACTCAGGATCACTATGATCAAATTCTGGAAGTCGGGATTTCGTAGTCATAACAGTGTCTATCTCCACTGGTGACAAATCCTCCAGATTCTGGGTTTCTATTGAGTCTGACATGAGGTATGTGACAAATATAGCAATAAAGTTAGCACAAAAAGTGGTTACTATAACACGAATAACTTAAGATAATACGGAATAAACTAGTTATATACTCAAATTAGTTTACGGATAATCAAGTCTACTTTTACGATTAAGTAAAAAAAATGTTAATAACAGAAATGAGGTTAAATTTGTGTTCAAAAAGGGCTCACCAGTTTCGTGCCTTAAAGTAGCCCTCGTGCTATTGATAGAAGAAACCAGAGAAGTAGTGAATAGGTCTTTATTTCGATCTTAGCGCGGTGACAGTGGAGCGTCCGATTACCTGTTCAGACAAACAAAGGCTCTCAACATTCAATATAAGATAATAGGGAATATAACGCTTATACAAAACAAGGAAGTGAATGAATACTTGAACAGTACTGTTTTGGCATATGCTTGGTTGTTTGGGGTCAACTCTTAACCAACCAACCTAGGCTGTTACAATATTCTTCTTTCCGGTCTGTCAGTGGCAGTTGTTCTTCATCCCTAATCCTCCTGAATAAAGTGTGAGGCATACTTGCAGTTACTTCTATGTCCGACTTCGGTGTTTCGGCTGGTATATTGTCAGATCCTGCTGCTCTCATGAATTGTCTGATGACCAGCTATCCTAATTTCTTCGGTCGCTGGTGGAGTAACATCTACAGGAATGTCTGTGAGTACTGCCTCGATGAATGGTGGATTCAATGGAGCTAGTCGATTAAAGAGCATTCTATTCACCTGTTCTTCTGTTCTTGAATCTCGTTGATTGTCTTACCTTCTTTCTTCTTGACCGGTCTCTCTGGTTTACTATATTTCTCCGCTAGTTTCTTTGTTGTATAATATGGATTTTTCATACTTCTTTCTCTCGCAGCTTTTTCCGCCGTCATTTCTAGGTCTTCCACATATTCCTGCTTGTCAGCTCTTTTTCACTATCTTGTTTGCCTCTGTGCATTCAGCTTGTGCGTTGTTCGACTGTTATGAATTACCATCTCTTTGTTCTTCCTTTCTTGAATTTTGCCAGGGGTTTTGATAGAGATCCATTCCTTATTATGATACTTCTTGTGGCCCATCACCTCCTGACACGTTGACGTTAGTACTTCTTTGATCCCTTCCTAGTTGTCCTCCATAGAAGTTTCTTCTTCTTTCAGTAGATCATGTAAACCTTGGCACCTGTTGTTCAGAACTATCTTGAATTTGTTGAGTTTGTCAATATCTTGAATCAAGGCTGTGTTGAATCTTTTCACTGCTGTTTATCGAGTTTTCCAGTTCTTCTTTAGCTTCAGTTTTAAATTGGATACAACTAGGTGTTGGTCTGAAGCTATGTCAGCTCCTCCCCTGGTCCTCATATCTTCCATTGACCTTGCGAAATTTTGCTGATGGAAATATGATTTATCTGGTTCTTCATGGTGTGGTCCGTTGAGACCTATGTGGCTTTGTACATGCGTTTGTGGAGGTATTTGGTGGTGGCTATAACCATTTCGTTGAATGCACATAAGTTTGAGAATCTGTCGCCATTCTCTTTCCTTTCTCCCAGTCAGTCCATGTCACCACGTAATATCTCGATAATCGGTGTTGTTCATTAGGACTTTGGTGTTTAGATCTTCCATCAGGATGGCCAAGCTGTTTCCTGAACACTTTTCTGTAGTCGATTGCAGCCTCTCGAAAAACTGATCTTTATAGTCGTTGTTGCTACCACTGGTGGGTACATAACACTGGATAACATTCATTGTGATTCCCTCCTTTTTTGAAAGATGATTTGATGATTTTGGATCCATGAGACCTCCATTCTACAAGTGCTTTACATACTTCTTAGGAAAGCATCAGAGCATTTCCTTCTTACGCACGCCCGCTTTAGAAGTTAGACCTCTTGACTCTGCTTCATTTCAGATTAGAGGGTAGTCCGGTTTAACTGAATAGAATTCTTGGAGGTGATTTCAGGTCTGGCATATTTTCTCTATTCCTTTTTATCAGATCAGGTCAACCCAGATGACAGCAAGCACGTTTAATAGCCAAGACCGAACACAATACATCTACCTTACAGGTTTATACAACAAGTCATAGACCCTCAGAACCTGCTGGTGGAAAAAGTAGTCCCTACAATTTCAACTGACTCATTCAAGAGAGCACTGGACACTAACAGAAGCTTAGCAAAAGCGATTAACACAGACCGTCGACCTTCTGTCTCAAATAAGCAAGTCTAAATCGGAATTCCGAATTTCTGGTCAGAATATTACAATAATTGTATTTCTTCGTAGCCAGGAATATTCTTCTACGACCCAAATACATAGTCCTACGAACATACAGTCAGCTAATTCTGCCGAGAAAAGTTTGGAGTTTGAACCTTGAAAAGCGACCAAGTGAGAAGTACGCGTTTCGGATTTTCTCTTGACGGTGTCACTCGCACTTAAGTACATACGTAAGTGGATTGTCATAAGTAATGAATTGACATTCTAAGTATATGGATACTTTAGGTTAAAATTATTTTGAAGGATCATTCAACCATTCAAGACGACCTTTCAGAAATCGTCAGTAACCTTAATAAGCTATTATATAGTCCTCCTAGTATTGTGACAACATAAGCTAATCCTAAAATGATATTTTGTTCACCTTAACAAATTGGTTTCTTAAAGAGGAAAACGGAACGGATTAAGTTCGGTGCTAAAATACTTGGTTTTCGCAAATGCTAATTATTGACTATCTTTGGAATTGACATCTGAATTATGTCTTGAAAAATGCTACTCAAATCTATGAACTAATCTTCATAATTATATCTTTTGTCCATAACTACCTGCCAGAATCTCTGCGCTAAAGTAAACTGGGATAGTGTCCTGGAAATCTTATAAGGGTTACTGAAAGCTACTAATTGGATTTATCCATGGAGATTTGGCAGTTCCTGCAGTGCATACATTAGTGTAGTCTTCTGTATTGAGGCATATAATAGTTGTCATTATCACAAGCTAATGTAGATCATAATGGCCAAATTGCAGTATGCAAATTTCTTGAAAACATGTGCTGGTAGCAAGTCCTTCAAAGAGCGAATAATTTTCGTTTTAACATTTATGTTGGTCATCTTTGTTGCCAAAAGCAAAACAAATTTCCTTCATTTCCGTTCGAATCAATACTTTGCTGGTTCTTGTGATATTGGTTAACTATATTTAGTTGCAAAAATAAACCATACATTTTTCACTGTTTTCGTGGAAACTGTATGATAACTGGGCTTTGAACATAGTAAGTATTTAAATCTGGCTTTATTGAAGTTAATCTGGTTATTCTTTGACTTTATGACAATTGATTATTTAAGATGACATTTCATCTTTGAAATTTACGTTAAATGCACAACTTAAGTAGTTACCTTATTCCAGATGCTCCGCCCACGTGCACTTACTTCTGCCTTAAGAAAGATGAATACTGGTGGAATACAATCAGTTATGTTATTTAATCCTGAAGGTGTTCTTCTTGCCTACACGAGCCTTGCTGGTGATAGTGAGCGATCTAAAGCCGCAATCGCAGCTAATGTTTGGAATATATATCAGCGCCAACTAGAGTCCAGTGAATCGGTAATTTTTTATATCATTACTTTGTTCATTCAAACACGTTTTCCAGTCTGAGAATACATCTATCCTCCTCTAAGTCTTCAGTTAAATGTCATTTTCGATTTCTCATCCTTAAGTTCCGTCCTTTTGAAATGTATTTCTGATACTTGGACCTCCATTGTTCTCTGCAATTCTTCCCATCCTTTGCTTTTCATCTTAGTGGTTCATTCTCGGTACGCTGATATGATTTATGTTGACTTGAATATATATATATATATATAGACCCTTCAGTTAAACTCATTTAGTCGACGTATTGTAACACCTCTGTTTAAATGACTCCAAAAATCAACCATTAAGTTCAGAGTTTAATTGAGCTAAGTTACTGATTCCGTTTTAATTTTCTTGTAATTAATCTTGATATTCAATATGAAATCATCAAAATTATCACGTTAATTAAGTAAGAAGAAGATAACGAATTCAACTAACAAGTTTTGAAATACCTTGACATAAATATTAAACTATAAAATATGGAGAAATCAGGTGTCCCTTAGAAAAAGTGCCAAGTTGTTATAACTTGTTCCTTGTGTTCTATTAATGTATAACGCAGTGATACCGCCAATTAGAGAACAGTGATTTATCGACCGGACCAATGACGCATAAAAACAAGTACGAGCAGTCTAGAGACCTTATTGGTCCTACTCTCCACCTAGCCCTGCCTGTTAAGTCCAGAACACCAATCTCAGCCTCTGTGATATGAATCCCGCAATTCAAACATACTGGGTTTATATTACCAACCAGACAGATCACATCGTACCATAAAATAGGAAACAACATTTGTACAACATTTAGCCAAAAGTGGCTATGAATGTGGGAGATAGTAATTAATAGACGGCATAGTTCAAGAATGGTAAATCGTATAATAATAGTCGATAGGTCAAAATAAAGCTCATAATAAGAGGGACATGAATATGAATAATTTATTCATTTAACAATTATACGATAAAAATATACACATAATATTGGTTTAAGAATGGATCCCAAAAGTTACCATTCATTATACTGATCGGCGCATAAAGATTTACTATCAGGCTTGGTAATTTTCAAAATTCGAAAATGTTTATGTAGTTAGTTGCATACCCAAAGCAGCATGAGGAAGGGATTTCTATTCAGTCACTATCCTTTGTTTATATGAACTGTGGTTCATAAAAAATATTGAAATAACATAGATTACAAAGTTTAAGTTCTGAATATACTGTCTAGACTAATTTTAACTGTTGGTAATTTTGGTTGACAAAATAGAGTAAATGTTAGTCAGGTCTTTTTAAAAAATCAGCTCTAAATTTAAGTTTATCAGGATGCTTAATTTAATAATCTAGACAATGGTTATTCTGACATTCTATGTAATGGTTGTCTTATAAAATACCTGTCTAAAACAATAGCAATCCATATATAGATTAGTATTTCATAGTTTGTGCATTTAATAAGTACTGTCTATTTTACAAGTAGTGTTCTATTGATGCGAATTATGTAATGGCTTTTTAATTCGTTAAATAGTCCTTTTTCAAATTAGCCTGACTTTTCAGCTGGTTGTTACTCCATTCAGTCGTACTTATAACCAGTGTTTTGTAAGTAATTATATCAACGGACTAAC